TTTAACTGACCTTAATTGATTTGGCATGAATCAGGCAGAGTTTTTAATCATGACACTCAGATATACTAATATGATTACTTTTTTTTTTTTTTTACAGTACTTTGGTCTCTAATCGTATTTAGGACTGAGCTCTAAGTTTCAAGAAAATGAGACTGCTATAGGATCTCTCCCCAAGCTTTGCCTTTCAACAATCATTTGCTTTTGGATAGTTTAGATTGTGATGTTGAATGTAAACTTCTGAATATTTTAATCTTTTTCTTTCACTTAACTTTTCAACATCTTTCCACAGCTATATTAGGAAAGTTGGGTTGACCATTTAGCTCATGGGTGTGACCTTGGTGATTTCCTTGAAATAGGGTTGGAGGATTTAAAGTTACAGGTTTGGATTGCACTGTGGCTTTCTATGTGCAGTTCTCTTCACTTGTTGGATTAAGACAAAAAAAAAACCGGTATGTGTGACCTACAGAAGGAACATTTATAGAAAAACTGTAAGTTTCCTGACCAGATCTTGGAGATAATTTTGCTGTTTAAAGGGTACAAATGAATTGGCCAGAGACCAGCAGTTTGTGTGGGTTAAATATTTTAATTATCATTTATTTGGACGCTTAAGTGATTCGGAGGGAAAAAGATTTATAGGAATACAGCAAATGACTTGGTTATAAATGGAATTTTTATGTGTTTTTGACAGTTTTTGAGGACTTTGAATTCCTTTTACTCCATGATAGGGTAATAAATATTCCGTATCAAAACATGTGAGCTAACCTGTCCAGCTGAAGTAGAGACTGTGCTGTCTCTAAAGGTTAACAGCGTGAGTACATTTAGACGTAAAGAACTGTTCTCAAGTGACAGCAGTTGTCCGCAAGGTGGCATTTACTTCTAATTTGTTGTGCTTAAACATAAATTATTGTGTTTTTCATTAAGGATTGTATAATGTGTAATAGTTGATAATTTTCAAAATCTAGTAGCAGAAGGCTTACTCACAAACGAATATCTGCTTTAAAACAACAACAATAATAGGAGACATGGCCTAAAGAACATTAGACTTCTCTTTCAGGCAGTGATAGCAATATGGTTCCTACTTTCTTTTCAAAGATCATCTTGTAAATTTTTTTTTTTTTTTAAAGTCTCCATTTAAGTGATCACGATACCAAGTCAGCCCTCGTATTCTTCCAGAATATGAGGTTACACTGGATATTGCCTCAGGTGCCTTGAGTAAAGGTTTAGGAGCATTTTTTTAAATATTGAAAAACATTTTTGCCACCTGCCTTTCAGGAGGGTGTTCCGAAGGCTCACTTTTCTGCAAACTAAAAGCATTTAGATTGTAGGGGTTGGATTATGATCTCCCCCTCCTTCCTCCTCCAGGTCTTCGTGAAGACAGACAACTTCCTCTGCTCGCAGCGTCTTGTGCTGCTGCTGGCTTCTGCTGGCTTCTGCGTGCTCCCCCTGGAGACGCCGGAGGTTCGGGGAAGGCTGGGTGGGTGCTCGCCTCCCTCGCCTGCAGTGGTTGCTATTAACACTAATTAGATTAGAATGTCTATTTTTTTTTTTTTTGCTAAGTTTTGTTAGTATTAAAGTCTTTGTTATTGCAATCACTCTAAAAGATTTTAGATTTTGTTAGCAGATTGGTTTTAAGTGATGTAGATAATTGGTTTATAGGTTAAGGAAGTGTTTAGTCTGCATTCAGTTTCCAAGTCAAGAGTTGAAGGCATTTGCTATCAGAGATTCCCAGCTTGTCCTCCATTTCTGTTCTGGTGGGTCTGTAAGGGGAGTAGTTTTAAATCCAAATGATACAGTTTTGCTTGTGCTCAACTTCGTGGAGTGATTAAATATGATTCATTATTTTTTATTACACCCTTGAAACTGTGGAGAATGGTATAGCAGATGGCAGCCATAGGGAGCCGTGTAGAAGGTCTGATGAACCTTCGAGTTAATTTTAATATCAGATGAGTTATGGTTGGTGACTGTGGCCAGAGATGTGCAATATTGACTCTGTACCTGTGCTGACTATGTAGTGTTTGTTCATTTAGCCACTAGGTGTTTACTGAGGGCCTGCCCCTGTGCCAGAGACCCCTTCTAGGCGGGAGGGGATAGCAGCGAACAAGGGCCTCTCCTCCTAGGATCTTACTTCAAAGGAATGGCCCAGGGTTTTCGTATCTTGAGTGAGTAGTAAGGATGGCTATGACCCAGCGTAGTGTAGTGCTCAGGACAGCTGGGCACAGTTAATGACTATATCAGGATCTGTGCCAGAAGCTTCCGTTGAGGGAGAAGTGCTTCAGTTTTGCCTGGGAGGGTCTTCTTCCCCATCTGACCAAAGGAGGAGACTCGCTGGCCCAGGACCTCCTTCCCCTCGTCTCCAGGCCTCCATCCTTCAGCAAAACTGAAGCTCTTCTATGTTTGGTTTTTTTTTTTTTTTTTTGCACTGTACCTCCTTTACAAATCCTTCAGGTCTTATGTTAGAAGCTGATGATGACTTCCCTTGACCCACATATTTGAACATTTCAGAGATAAAAATTGAAACAACTATTTCTCGAAGTCAGGCATTTCCAATTATATGCCATTACCCTGGGTGGAAAATAAATAACAGGGATGTACCCACATCATGTTTCTTATTCAGAGACTGAGTTTATGATTGGTGTCTTTTTGGGAAAGATTATCTGTAGAAAACTGGAGTTCCCCCAAATTTAAAATACCATAGAGTAGTAAAATTTCTTTAAAAAAAGAAAAAAAAGCAGAAGATAATGTTGATGTCTGACATGGAGGACTAAATTTGATTTTGGCAAATTAGGGCATTAAAAAAAAAACCAAAACTTTACTGCTCCCTAATGCCACTCTTTCATTTTTTAAAAAGCTATTTTGCAACCAAAAAATAGAAAGGGCCTCAAATAGAGAACAGCCTTTATTCAAATTGAAATTTATCTCTGTACTTGGTGGAGAACTCATTGAGCTGTTTCTGTTTTTCATATAGCTGTCAGCCGGTGAAAATGTGCTGGTCAACTTCATGGTGTTTTCAAATACCATTTAATATCTTGATTTAAGATAGCATTAAAAATTCTTCTGAATAAGTCTATCCATAAATGTAGACCTACCCCCCAGAACCACAGAAATTTGGAACTCTTGAGGATGATCCTGTCATTTAGCCATCTCCATCAAGTAGATGAAGATGGGGTATGTGGTGGTGACAGCTTGAAGGTTGTGACTTAGCCAGAACTAGAACTCAGGTCTCTGGGGTGTTCTGTTATTTCCCACCAAGCTGGTAGCCAGCTCCAGTGTTTTATCCTCCATTGTGATGACAACAAAAGACTCAGAAATTAAGATAAAGCACTTTAGTATGTTCTTTCTTTACCCTAATCTTTGATCTGCAGTCTTATTTAGAAAAGCTTGATGTTAAAGATCTGGTTTATTCAAAACTAAAGATAGCAAGGGGCATGAGAATTTTCTTTTATTATGAGTGTAAAGAAGGGGAAGAAATGTTTCCTTGTCTTCTCTGAGCCTAGAGGCCCTTGCTCTTTGAGGAAGTGGAGAGAAGAAAGTAAAGCTGAAGGTGGTGGGGGTAGTTTGCAAGTCTTTTTGTTTTGTTGGGGAGAATGAACAGACCTCAGTTAAAGTAGTTGAGACTATTGAAAACCAATTCTGTGCTTGCCAGAAAGGTGGGGGGGTATTGGGTTTTTGGAGCTTAATTCTCCTTCAAGAGTGAAAATTAGCTTCCGAATCTGAGCCTGCAGAGCTAAATAAAGTAATAGTCCATTTTTCACCTGGCCAATGCATAATGTGAAAGGTGGGTTAAAAATGGGAGGACCCATTTTCTGATTGAAGACTGAGCCTTGTTGAACGGGTTGTGTGGAGGATTTTTAAAGTGTATATTCACAAAGTAGCTTTGTGTATATGTATTTCCTTATTTATTGTGCAGACAAGGAAGCCCAACCCTGAGGCTTGTTGAAGCAGAAAGTTGTAACAAGCAAACTGGGATTTGGGCAGTGGGTTGAGGGTTACAATATCCTGTGAGCCAAAATGATGAAGGTTTCTCTTGGCCAAGATGAGCATCATTCTGAAGTGTTCTGTAGTTTTTGAATGTGGATTTTATGAAAGGTTCCTGTTTTTTGTGTGTGTATGTTGTTGGCCAATGCATGTGTAAAGCTTTGAGGGTGCATTTAGGCATTTGTGTTTCTCGACTGTATATAAGACAGTTTGAAGTTCTGGCTTTTAAATTTTTACTTCAAGTGCTGTAATTGTCATTTTTCACAGTTGGTATAGTCTCTAGATTTGTAGAAGCTGTTTATAAGGATACACATGTGCATCGTAGTGTTGGCATTTAAAATATATTACGCTGAATTTAACAGTTTCTGCCCTGAATCTTTACATTTTAGATTTAAATCATTAAAGGACCACGTGTTACTTTTCTTAACTGGATGAAAATCTAGCAATTTGATAACTGTACTGATTGGATAAAATGCTAATGATTTAATTAACGAGCATGTTGAACAGGATGCCCTGTGCTAGTTAAGGGAGAAGCAGATGAGCTAGGCTACAGGCAGACCAGCTGTGAATCGTCCACACCAGGCTTCTCTTCTCCCTGGCTGCAGCTAACCATTTCTATATTTTGTTTTGTTTTTTTTTTCCCCCTCTAGGTTTTGGAAATCCCTTGTCTCCAGGTTGCTGGGATTGACTTCTTGCTCAATTGAATCACTCACTCAATGGAGACAAAGAGAATTAATGCTTTGTGCTGACTCATATTTGAATCAAAGCATTGGGGAGTCTGTCTGCCTTGTTTGTGGAAAGAACCAGTGAGAAGCTCTGTCACCGGGCTTCCTTCGACTTCAGAAGATAAGAAGCTCCAGGAATATATACTTTCTTTTGAACTTTTATAACAAATATTTGTTCTAGTTTTAAGTGCAGGGCTGCTGGGGGTGTGAGTGACAAGTCTTACAAGTGGCCTTATCCCAATTCCAGAAATTCCTCCACCGGATTCTTATTTTATATACAATCCTAAAGTGCCAGGAAACATGCCAACTCAATCCCTGTTGGTGTATATGGATGGACCAGAAGTTATTGGCAATCCCCTTGGCACCCAGATGGAGCTAGATGATGCCGTGTCAATAAAAGGGACCACTGCTGTTCCTTTCAGAGCAACACAAGAGAAAAACATCATCCAAATAGAAGGATATATGCCCTTGGACTGCATGTTTTGCAATCAGACCTTCACACATTCAGAAGACCTTAATAAACATGTCCTAATGCAACATCGGCCTATCCTCTGTGAACCAGCAGTTCTGCGTGTTGAAGCGGAGTATCTTAGTCCTCTTGATAAAAGTCAAGTGAGAACAGAGCCTCCAAAGGACAAGAATTGCAAGGAAAATGAAGAATTTAGCTGTGAAGTATGTGGGCAGACATTCAGAGTGGCTTTCGACGTCGAGATCCACATGAAGAAACATAAGGACTCTTTCACCTATGGGTGTAACGTGTGCGGAAGAAGATTCAAGGAGCCCTGGTTTCTTAAAAATCACATGCGGACGCACACTGGCAAATCCGGGGCCAAGAGCAAACTGCAGCAAGGCTCGGAGAGCCCGGCAACAATCAACGAGGTGGTACAGGAGCATGCCGCTGAGAGCATCTCCTCTCCTTACAAAATCTGCATGGTTTGTGGCTTCCTCTTTCCTAATAAGGAAAGTCTCATCGATCACAGGAAGATGCACACCAAAGAATCTGCTTCCGGTGCCAGTAGTACACAAACAGACTCTCAGCAGGGGGGAATGCCATCTCCGGGGGAAGAGTTCCTGCAGTTTTTAAACTTGAGACCCACCTCTCACCCCGAAACCGGCAAGAAGCCCACAAAATGGATACCTCAGCTCGATCCATTCACCACCTACCAGGCTTGGCAGCTGGCTACCAAAGGAAAAGTCGCCGTGTGCCGAGAAGTGAAGGAACAGCCGGGCCAAGAAGGAAGTACCGACAATGATGATTCGTGTTCCGAAAAAGAGGAGCTTGTTGAAATTTGGAACGCTAGTAAGAGCCATTCCGAAGGTTCTGGAAAGTCCAAGACAAGTAAAAGCAGTTGTGCAGGCCTCGCACAAGATAAAGAGAAGCCCAGACCCTCCAGTGGTGAAGTGCCTTCCGTGGAAGCGGACCCAAAGCTGTCCAGCAACAAAGAGAAGCCGACGCATTGCTCGGAATGCGGCAAAGCCTTTCGCACCTACCACCAGCTGGTCCTGCACTCGCGAGTGCACAAGAAGGACCGGAGGGCCGATGCCGAGTCGCCGACCATGTCAGTTGATGGAAGGCAGCCTAGGACGTGTTCTCCAGACCTCACCGCCACCCTGGATGAGAATGGAGCCGTAGATCGCGAAGCTGGTTCTGAGGATGGATCTGAGGACGGACTTGCGGAAGGGCTCCAGTTGGGTAAGCCTCTCTTCCATGTGCGCTGTCCTTACTCCGTCCCCATCCCAGAAATGAGGGTTGGCGAGCTGGGGCAGAGGCCAGGCTCTTGTGGTGCCAACCTGTTGTAAGTCACTTCACCTCTCAGGGCCTTGGTTCTTCTCAAGGCTTCTTCCAGTTCTGAAAATTCTGTTGTTTTATCTTTTGCTCAGGGAGGACACACATCTTCACTTGCGCATCAGTCTGAGGCGGTGGTTCTGACCTGGGGCATTTTTGCCCCCCGTGGAATCTGGTAGTGTCTAGAGATATTTTGGGGTGTCACAGCCGTGTTGGTGTGTGGCTGGCACCCAGTGCGGGGAGGCCAGGGATGCTGCTGAACATCCCACTTGCCATGTGCAGGGCGGCCCCGCAGCTGGTGATTATGTGGCCCAGTGTCAGTGGTGTCAGGGTTGAGAGACCCTGGGCTTTGCTTCAGGGGTTCTGGCATACCTGAGCTTCTCTCTAAAAACAGGTTGTCCTTACATGCAACCGACTTCCCTGTCCTCCGAGACCCAGCTCTCATGCGCTTACTCTGGCTGGTGTTCTAGTCACAAAAGGTACTGGGAATGATTGTCGGCCAGAGCAAGGGTATCTTTAGAGAAACTGTTTGGTGCTACCTGGTACCCAGTCCTCTCTGTCTGGTGGGCGAGTATTCGTTAACAGCTCAGAGACTAAGACCATTTGTGTGTAAAATAAAGGGAATGTGAACACACCAAAGATGGTTTAACGGAATCTCAAATGCTCAGATTTTTCTTGAACTAAGGGCTTCTTAGAGGAAACGGGGGTCATGGCTGAAGGCTTAGGGACCTCTTATTTCTTGAAGCCCAATGGGCATTATCCAAGACAGAGGATCCCACCTGTGGTTCAGGTCTTGCCCATCTGTACTTAAACCAGAGCTGCTTCTGTCTGTTTAATAATGTTTGGTTTGAGTAAAGGATTCTGCTGCTTGAAATTCGACAGTTAAAAGAACCCCTTGCATCTTCAACAACTGAATGGTGGGAACATGAATTAGTCTTAGAGGGACGTTATCATTCACAAAAGTAGTCTTTGGTTTAAGCAGATGCTGCTACCTTCTTTGACTGTAACTTGATGGTATGTGGCTGGCTTGTGAGAACTCATGTGTGAGACCCAAGATGAGTTTGACCGGATGATACACTGGATGCTTCACGCTCCAAACCAGTGTCAGGTTCTTTTTGCCATCACAAGATGGATTGAGAACAGTAGTGTTCATACTGAGGATTTAGGATGTTTTGAGTTTCAGGGGACACAGGAAACCTAGCACTTAGGATACTACAGTCTTCAGAAATCTAGAAAACACCATTATGGTGTCTTCATGACATCATAAAAAAGGCCTTGAACACAGAGACCTGTCTTCACAGTGGTTCCTAGTAGTGTCATTCCTGTTCAGGGGCATGTAGTAATGGGGACATGGTTGGGTCCTCGAGCTGCCCCGTTGCCCTGAAAGAAAGGAGATCGCTGGTCGCATTCTGCCAGTAGGTGGTGTGGGCAAAAGAACCTGGTGGAAATCTTGGTTGTCAGGCAGATAGAATGCCTGGTGGTAGCTGGGAGCGCCACGACTTGCCTTTAGTCTGGTTCTGCCACTGCATTATTCTGTGGCTGATTACATGTTGCTTAACCTTTCTTCGCCCTGATTTCTCTGTTTGCAAAATTGGTTTGTCGACCCTTGTCTTCCACCTCCCAAGGATAATTTCAACAGCCTCTTGATAAAAAGTTGGCAGTCCTTTCAGAAACTATAAAATCAGAGGTGATGCCAAAGGAGCAGGAACCAGGTATATGTGGACATTTCACGTCCTTTGTGTTAAAACAGACCCATTTCATAACTTTTTGGATATGATGCAACATACCATAAATCCTGACACATACTTGGGAGTAGGAAATTGCAGTTAAGGTTCAAACTCAGCTCATTGGGTGTGATTGTAAGACAAAGCTGGGCCTTCTGTATTTAGAGAATTGATTTTCCTAAGTTTATATTATGATGTGGTGGTCTAGATTTATCTTCCTGTTATTTACTGTCAACCTGGCTTTCTTGAGATTGACTTTTCAAAAGGCAAAGTAAATATTTTGTTTTTGTGTTTGTTCAACTTTATAGTATGTTTAATAGTGGTTTTTCATGTGATTGTGTTTTTAAGTCTTCATGGTCAGTGGTGGTCTCTGCTGTTTTACTGTTCAGAGGTGCTCAGTGGTGCATACCTTTTCCCCAGGGGAGTTGAGGGGCCAGGGGATCATGCGGTCCTGTCCTGTTGTCCTGGAGGCTGCCCACGGTTGGCTCATAAGCTGCTTTTTAAAAGCGTAAACTAGATCTATATAATCTAAAATACAAAATTGGGAAGAAGCAGGGAAAAGAGGCCTTTTTAGTTGGAGTTAACAGTTTTCAAGGCAAAAGAGCCAGTTTAGTTATGCTCAGTTTTAAGAGGTGACCCCACCTCCTTGGCCTCACTGCAGTGTACGGAGTACAGTCTTCAGTAAGAGGAGGTTTATCCAGAACTTTAGCACTCATTTTTACGGGTGTTAAATTTTTTTTTTTTTTTGGCAGGCAGCGGGGAGCGGGTATCTTAACTGTAGCAATGTACTTGTCTTTTGGAGGGCTGGTGTTTAGGTATAATCATCCTTTAATTAGTGTCCGCAGTGGGCCTTTACTCTGTTGCAGCCCAGATACACTGTCCTGGTCGTTACGGAGATTGAAGTGTATGGTTTAGCCCATTGTGATTTGGGGACAGATTGATGTCAGCTATATTTTTGGCCACGTGAGTGCTTGTGAATGATACAATTTGCTTTCCAGAATGTGCTGAATTTTGACAAACTTTCTTAGGTGTTTGACCCAATGCTGAAACCTTTTATTTTCTTTTAAGATTAAGTTGTGCTTGCTACCCTCTAGTGGTAGCTGGCCCAATTTTAAGATATACTTCTTTTCCCTGGTGGTTGGGGAAGCTGGCAATTTCTATTGGCTCAGTTTTCTAAATCAGTTATTCTGAAGAAGCTGGTTATTCCAGCCAGTGTCTGTAGGTCCAGCTTCAGTCTGCCAGATCCTGCTTGTTGCAGACATGTTGGGAGAATAGAAAGTTGCCCATGCATGTCAGTCTGTTAAATGAACTTTCCTGTGATTGAGGCAAAGGAAGAACTGAATCCGGGACACCAAATTCTGCTGTACTCAGAAAACAAAAACAAAACCAAGAAACAGCATGCATGTTATAAAAAGCTTCCAAAACTTCAGACAGTCTCAAAATAGCATTTGGTGTGTTCCTGTCCTTTCTGGTGTACCCCAACACTTAATATAAAAATTATTTTATGCTTTCCAAAAAAAAAAAAAACCGTTTCCATCCAGAATTCTTAGCTTGTCTTAACTCGTGTACCTGAGCGGTCTTCTTACAGAAATATTTTTTGTTTCTGCTTAAGATAAAAATGATGATGGAGGAAAAATAAAGCATCTTACGTCCTCAAGAGAATGTAGTTATTGTGGGAAGTTTTTCCGTTCAAATTATTACCTCAATATTCATCTCAGAACGCATACAGGTAAGGAACTTCCTAGATTTTTAAAATTCTTACTAGCTCAAAGAATTACAATGTAGCTTTGTGTCTTGACTTCTTTTATATTGTTGTTCAAATATTCTGTTAGGCCCTTGTAGTAGTTGAAAAGTAAGTGTGTGGTGTGTTGATGGTAGCTGTCATTTTAGGTCTGTTAGTGTTCTTGTAACTTGAACTGTTCCTGTTTCAAAGTTTGTTTCTTGTTTAGTTTCTGACTACTGTTGCATCTTACTATGTTTTTTCATGCCACAGCTTTTTTTTTGTACTGTTATGATTTAGAAGGCAACAAGAATATATTTAGTATTTTCTTTAGATTGTAGAAGCGGCTGTGACAATAATGGTTTAGGAGGCTGGGTGGACTTGAACTCCCTCTCTCCTACTCACTAGCTGTGCGTGCAACCTTGGGCAAGTCATTATACCTTTCTGTGCCCCAGTGTTCCTAGCTGTAAAAGCAGGATAATGATACGCTTCTGTTCCATAGGGCTATTATGAAGGTTAAATAAGTTTAAAATGTGCTATTTTTTTTTTTAAAGACGTGTATTCACATTTTCAAATATTCAGTATAGTAAGGGTGATAAAGCGAGCAACTGGTGAAAAATCCTGGATATGCAGATTCGTAGAGAGAGAAGGGAAAAGGAAAGACCCTGTATTCTCTCCTGGCAGATAATTTTAGCTTCCAACGATCTATTTAGATGTTTTTCATGAACTTGTGTGACACAGTGACATTTCTCATTTTAGGTGAAAAACCATACAAATGTGAATTCTGTGACTATGCTGCGGCACAGAAGACATCTCTGCGGTATCACCTGGAGAGGCATCACAAGGACAAGCAGATCGATATTGCCGCCGAAGTCAAGACGGATGGGAAAAACCAGGAGACCGAAGATGCACTACTAGCCGCCGACGGTGCGCAAACCAAAAATTTGAAAAGATGTTTTGATGGTGCCAAAGATGTTAAAGGCAGCCCACCTTCAAAGCCACTTAAGGGGATGGCCTCTACCTTTCAGAATGTTCTGGGCAGCACTGTCCAATCACCAGTACACAGAGATACTCAGGATTTCAATAAAAATGCAGCTGATGCCAGTACTGATAAAGTGGGCAAAGCTCCTGCCCCCGCGGGTTTGGACGTGTTCCCGAAGAGAGCGCCGGGTGACCCTCAGCCCCCCGAGCCCGCCCGTAGGCTGGAGGCGGGGGTCCCTGCGCGCGCGGACAGCAGTGCGGCCCACGGTGCTGACGGCGGCCCCAGGGAGGAGCAGGTGGGCACGGTGGCCGACGGCAAGCACAGGGCCAGCGGGGACTGTCAGGAGAAACCGCTGAACCTGTCCCTCGGGGCGCTTCACGGCTGCCCCGCCATTTCTCTGAGCAAGAGTTTAATCCCAGGGATCACCTGCCCGTTTTGTACCTTCAAGACCTTTTATCCGGAGGTTTTGATGATGCACCAGAGACTGGAGCATAAATACAACCCCGACATCCACAAAAACTGCAGAAGCAAGTCGGTGCTGCGCAGCCGGCGCACCGGCTGCCCGCCCGCGCTGCTGGGGAAGGACGTGCCCCCGCTGGCCCACTTCCCCAAGCCCCGGGCCAGGCCCGCGCCGCCCGCCAAGGCCGCGCCCGCCGACCGCGACCGCGGGAAGCCGGGCCCCGCCGCGCCTGCCAGGCCCCCGCCGCCCCCGGGGCTCGACCCCAGCACTTTAGCGCCCAGCAACCTGAAGGCGCCGCGGGCGCCGCACCAGCACCAGCAGCCGCCGCCGCCGCCGCCGCCGCCGCAGCTCGGGGGGGCTCAGGGGGTCGCCCGGCCAACGCAGGCCGAGCCCGCCAACCCGGAGAGGGGCCGGAGGCCCGAGGCCAAGCCCCGGGTGCCCGCCGCCGTCCCCGCCCCGCCCGGCGCCGCCAACGGCTGTGCGGAGCGCCCCTGGGCGCCGCGGGGCCGCGACCCCCCGAGCGGCCGCCCCGCAGAGCCCGGAGAGCCGCTGCCCAAGCGGCCGCGGCCCGACGCCGAGCCGCCGGCGCCCGCCTTCCGCCGGGCCTTCGAGTTGCCCAAGTACCACGTGGTGCGCGGCCTGCAGTCACTGCTGCCCGCCGAGTGCGTGCGCCCGCCGCCCGCCGCGCTGCCGCCCAAGCCCCGCGCCGCGCCCGCGCCGCTCTTCGCCTGCGGGCCCGCCGCCGACGGTGAGGCCTGGGGGAGGGGTGCACAGACCCCGGGCCGGGGGCGGGGGGGGGGGCGGCGGGCGGCGGGTCCTGGGGGCTGGCTTTCCGGTGTCCCCTGAGGCCTATGCCTCACTCGCTGTCCCAGGCCGACGTCCCGTGCACGTCCGGGCCGGGGCTGAGGCTAGGTCCCCGCTCCCCACGGCGCAGTCCTTCGGAGCCGGACCTCGGCTTCTGTCCCTTTGCCATGTACGCGGCTGGCAGAGTTCCCACTAGCAGGTGGCACCTCACAGTGAACACCCACCCCACGGCCCCCGGAGCACGGGCCCTCCACCCAGCAGGAACAGAAGCGTAAGAACCCCAGTGAGCAACAGTCTTTTGAACAGTTTTGATGCTAGGATTCTGAACTCATGCTGCCCAATTTTTAGCCTTCGTTAAACATTAAGTGCGTTTTAAAAGGGACGCCCTTTCCCCCAAATGGGTAATTGTTAAAAGTCGTAGATTTACTTTGGAGTTCTCCCCGTGGAAATGTTTTCAAAACCCTGCTTCCTCCTGGCCGCGTTCCCTTAGAGGTGTGTGGTGCGTACCTGTGCATGTAGGAGAGGTAGGTCAGAGTGTCCTGGAGACCTTGTTCCACTTGGCAAACTTGATTAAACCACTTCCTTTGTCGGATGGAAGTCCTGCTGGTTTGTGCAGCTCCAAAGAGAAATCCATTTGAAACCTCTCAGTTTGTATTAACTTCAAATTACGGGTTCTGGGTAGTGACAATACTTTTACCCAGGATAGCTGGATGCCATTTGATCTGGTATGGATAGCAAATTAAAAAAGTTTTTTTTTTCACACACTCCAGTGAATTTCATAAAAATTATGATGAAATATTAATTGTTGCAGCCTTTTGATCAAAACTATCTTTCTCCCTGTTAGCTCTTAAAATGGACAGGAGTCAAAACTTTGTCTTAACTTCAAGAGTCTGGGCTCTGTGTTGCAAGCAAAATCCTTTTTTATTTTTTAAAGATTTTATTTTTAAGTAATCTCTGCGCCCAACGTGGTGCTCAGACTCGTAGCCCCGAGATTGAGAGAGGCACACTCCACCAACTGAGCCAGCCAGGCACCCCGTAAAATCCTTTTTTAAAATCATTTTTCTCCTTCCCCACAGTTTTGGTTTCTGATGCATATAAGTTTAAAATATTTTATGCTACCATTTTTTTGGCTTTTTTTTTTTCTGTGCCTAAACCTTGGGTCTTGACTTTTTAGTTCTTACTAAGGACAGCATAGTACTTAGATCTATTTTAGCTTTAATGACTTGAAGTTTTGTACTAGCAAATATCCTCAGGGCACTTAAAAACGTTTCAGTTGTAACTTTGCAACATGCATGCAGCTGGTGTATTTTGATCCCATTACCAGTCAGGAATGGTGAAAATTGACCTCTGACAACCCACCTAACACCTTCCCAATTGTTGAACTTAATTCTAAACATCTTTTCACATGTTTTTCCAAACAGGAAAAAGACCTGTGTCGTACCAACACTTGTCTAGCAGCATGCTACAGAAGAGAAACTATGAGAACTTTATTGGAAATGCACATTATCGACCAAATGACAAAAAAACTTGATTTCCTATTTTGTCTAAGAAAGGTGAGTGTATATGATGTATTGATTTTACTTAATTGGCGCCTGGGTGGCTCAGTCGTTAAGCGTCTGCCTTTGGCTCAGGTCATGATCCCAGGGTCCTGGGATCGAGTCTCATATCGGACTCCTTGCTCAGTGGGGAGTCCGGTTCTCCATCTCCCACTCCCCCTGCTTGTGTCCCCTCTCTCGCTGTGTCTCTCTCTGTCAAATAAATAAAATCTTAAAAAGAAAATAAACCATCTAACTTATCCTGTAGAATATAAAGTAAAATTACTTTTATTTACAAGATTTATTTATTTTAGAGCACGAGAGCACAGCAGGGTGGGGGGAGGTACGCAGAGGGAGAGGGAGAGAGCATCTCAGCGGAGCCCCGCTACAGGGCTCCATCTCAAGACTCTTGAGATCACAACCTGATCTGAAACTGAGTCGGGATGTTTAACGGGCTGTACCTCTCAGGCGCCCTTAATTTTAGAGTGTTTTAAAACTTTGAGTTCTCAGGGTCTGTGGATATCAGTGATGATGATAATAGTAATAATAGTAATAGCAACTGGAATTTACTAAGCATTTATTTTGTGCTCTGCCTTGAAGTGTTTTATAATCATGACCTCACTTAAGCCTTCCCACAGCAGGGGGCATCAGGCCAGGGATTAGCAAACTGCCCTCCACCTGTTCTTGTTTCTAAAGTTTTCCTGGCACACAGCCATGTCCATTCCTTTCTGTATTGTTGATGGCTTCTTCTGTGCCACATTAGCAGTGCTGGGTAGTTGTGACAGGGAGTGCAGGGCCTGCAAAGCTGAAAATATTTACACTTTGGCCCTTTATAGAAAATGTTTGCTGACCCCTGGGTTAGGAGGCCCTGGGTGTGCTTTACAGATGAGGGTACCAAGTCTTGGAGTGTGTAACTTGCCCAGTGCTTAACTCTGGTTCTGTCCTAGGTCTGCAGGAACCAAAGCCTGTGACCTCCTCCCCCCCAGCCCTCCTGTTAAAGAGCTTGTTCAAAGCCTCTGTGCATCCTTATCTGTGCGGTGGGGGGAGTGGGTCAGGAGCAAGTAGTTGCGTTTGGTCTTGGTGGTTCCCATGGCAGATGTATATAACTGTAGATACCCAGAAACTGCAGTATCGTCATAGTTGCACGCATAGTAATTTAGTTAATTCCAAGGTTGGCCAGTTACATAAGAGTTATTCTAGGCCTCATTTACCAATACACTGAATGAAAAGATCGGGGCTTATGGACAGATTTGCGTTCTCTCTCGCAGGAGCCCTGGTCCTGTCACGTGACCACCATGTAGACTCCTGGAACAGGGCGGGCTTTCTCCCTCCTGTTTTCAGGGGACACGCGTGGGGCCCATCAGCCTCATGCGGGTCTGCACTCCTCTTTCCCCTCAGATAGTGAAAGTAGAATGAGAGTCAAGTGTTGTCACAGGAATGGGATTAAGTCCACTCTCCGTTAAAACAAAAACAAATAATGTATGGATTACAAGGAATAGATCCTTTGACACTGATTTCCCGTACTCAGTGGCACAGTCCGTCAGTGACAGCAAACGCGCACTGTCCCGTTGGCCAGGCCTGTCCTCTCTGTAACCTCTGAGCTTCTCTGCCTGGAACATCCTTCCCGCGTCTTGTATGTCAGATCGCCTCTCCCTGATACTCCAGGACCAGCTCACACATCATTCCTGGAAAATGTTTGCCAGGAACTAGGGACTTCCCCATTGTGCTCCCTGTGCAGGTGTGATTCATCCCCATCGCCCTCCCCACCCCCTTACCTGTGTGTCCAACTTCACTGTTAGCTGAGCTTGAGAGGACACTCCTGTGTTCCGTTGCCTAGCCCACTGCTGGGAATATCACTGATCCGACTTCTTAAATGTTGGCTGAGCAAACAGTGTTAGAAACTTTCAGTTTCTCGTCAGTGACAATTGCCTTTGCCAGACTCCGTGTTAACTGGTAGGAATTCTGAATCTCGGTAAAATCATCTTCACTAAATCACTGTTCAGTATATAGTGAGGTGTCTCTGAGGTGCCAGTGTTAAGAGTCCTGATATTTTCATGGCAACGTGTTTTTTTTAAGTAAAGATTTTAGTTTTAAGTAACCTCTACACGTGCTCCATGAGCCAGCCAGGCGCCCCTTCGTTGCAACATTTGAGTTTAAGTGGAACTCATTGCAGTTCTAGATCCTCCTTAGTTCTGTTGGTTGCACTTTTCTGTTACAGATTTTCTAAGCTGTTTTCAGTTCTATCTTCATGGCTTCTCGAACCTTTGTTTCTGTAGGTCTTGATGGCTGTGTGTACTGTCTGTGAATGGAGTTCGTCCATCCTTTGAGAAAGCAGACGGTGGAAGCCCGTGAAATATAAGCTGTGACCGTGCCGTGCATGTAACACACCAGGAACACTACGGTTTTGTGACGTTGTTCTGTTAACTTTTGTACCAAATAGCAATAAAAACTATAGTTGCAACAGTTGGGTTGTACACAAATGGAGACTGGAAATCTCTATTTTGTCCCTGAATCATATTTTTTTTAGAATCGACCAAATAAGAGTCTTTTGCCTACTTGAGCGCTGCTGGAAAGAAACCATCTGGGTTGGGGAGGGTGGGGTGGGGAGAAAGTCTATGATGCTTGCACCTCAGGTAACTCTGTACATAATTGTAAGTTCTAAACCTGCTTGTTTGGATACTGTGCGTTCCTCTGTTTCTCTAATGTAGCTCATCACTTTGAGCAGTTGCCTGCTATTTGTGCTCTTTCGTTTAAAATGTATGGTTTTTTTTTTTTAAATTCTCAATGATTTGTATTATGTTAAATCCTCCTCGGTCTATTGTCTTAACAAAATTGTTAACGGAAGTATTGACCCTCTATGACTATGTGCTGCATGTACTGAGGTCAGCCGTTCTGAGTTCGGTGCCCTTTTATTGCAAATTTCATTTTGTCAACCAAGGGAGTGTCCAGATCCGTGACCCCTTCCCGGAAACAGTGCTGTGGATTGTGGGGTTTTTAAGTGTGTGTGTTTACAGAAAGCATGTCCTCTGTGGAGCCGCCACATGTCCGGTAAACATACCAAATCGTAGGTGGGGTCCCTTGCATTTACTTTCTATCAAATTAAGCATTTTTGTTGGAAAATTCAGGTTGTTTGACTTTCACTGAAATTAGTAGGTAAAAAAACAGAAATGCTAAATTATACATGTGAATGACACATATTGGAAGCAATTTTAAAAAAGGACATGAACGTCTTTGGGTAAATTTTAGGTTTGTATCTGGAAGTCTTGGTGTGCCTGGCATTCGGGTTAACTGTGGACATTCTGAGTTAATTATAGACACATTGATTCTGAAGAAGGAACTGCAGGCTGAGCCTTCTGGTTATGGGGAAGATGTGATCTCTTCTCGACCTCCGTTGTCTTCCCATTTTTGGTTGTTTCGAGCAGCAGCGTTTTTCTCAGTACATACGCAGGTTGGGTTTTAAAGAGAGGGTAGCCACCAGCTGGCTTACTAGGTGTTTTAAACTTTGGTTCCCTTGATACGCTGTCCGTGGCTGAGTTTCTTCAGCAGTACATTGGTTTAGCAACCACAAAATATTTTATTAAGAAAACTGTTTCAAAAATAAATTTGCACTGTTAAGTTGTCCTGCCCTGCCCTTCTGCGTTAGAGCGGGAGTAAAGTCCTAAAAGAACCCTGATTTTTTGTTTTGTTTTCATTATGCAACATGAAGCGTACTTGACGGAAGTCTTAACTCCCGTGTGAAAGGGAGAGCTGATTAGAGACCCGTCTGCTGGTATTGCAATGAAGTGCTTTGTATCAGGAAAACGTACACTATTGACCTTGTTTCCTGTTCACAAGCTGAGCCATATGTACATAATCTAGATTTTTGTTTTCATAGTTTTGCACTTTTATAGCCTATTTTTGAAGATTAACACATTTTTGCAAGATGATTGACTTGATCTTTGCCTAATCCAATGAGTGTTGCAGAAAAGCTTGCTGTGACTATAAATGTAAATCTTAAAAGGGGATACAAGATAATAGAGGGCTGAAATTTAAACCTGTATTTAAAAAAAAAATCACCAAATCTATTTGAAAACAAGTCAATTCATGTCATGCTGAAATTTGGGGGGCTTTCAGATTTCTCCTTTCTTCACCACATTTCTGAATTTCTGAATGCATAAAAATGTCCTTTTTTTTCACAGCCCTTGTACTCCAAAAATTTTTTTTGTTTTTGTGTTTGGTCCATCAGTATTAACTATTGGGATACTACTGGTTTTATATGTTTTTTTTTTCCTTTGAGACAACAGTACATATAATAGAGGTACAATCCGTTGGATTTTTGTTTATGTATTTATTTCATTCCAGTTTGATTTATTTTAATTGTTGATACTTGTCAAACAGTAGACATTACTTGTTTTATTTATGATATATTTCAGCTTAAAGTTATGTTATTATATGTGGATGTAAATATAGATTTGGTGTTTTGCAGTCTTGCGTTTTGGTCTTTATTGTGTCCCTGGTTTCTGTTTTTGTTTTATTTAACATTTCATAAGTACAATGTTAAGCCTACAGGGTAGAAGAGAGGTTAGTGTTCTGAATCCTCGATGCTCGCCAGCAGTATTTTGCCCCTCTTCTCCCCTGAGTACTTTAAAAACAAATCTCAGACGTGATTTAGTTTTATCCGTAAAACACTTCAGTATGTGTAAGGGCTTTCATAATTACATGCAGCTAAATGGACAGTGATTCCTCATGACCAACCTCCATGACCACATTGCCTTGTCTTAAAAGTGACTTCTCATAGTTGGTAAGTTGTGATCAGGGCCCAAACAAGATTCACTTAATTGGTTTAGAAGATTGTTTTGTTTCTGTTCTTTGTCTTTTAAGATTTATTTACTTTTAGAGAGAGAGAGAGAGAGAGAGAGAGAGCGTGGTGGGGGGAGGGGCAGAGGGAGAGAATTTTAAGCAGACTCCACACTTAAGTGGGGAGCCTGACGTGGGGCTCAAACCCACGACCCTGAGA